GGAGGGGCAGGCTCCGTGCTCAGGGCACTGCCCCTGGGGGTCCACGCGACAGACACGTGGGGGGCAGCGCCTGAAGCAGAGGGAGCAGAGCAGCTCGAAGCGGCCGCCAAACTCTGTGAGGATGGCATCAGCCGCCCGGCCTGCCCCTCCCTGGGCCCCACCGCCCTGCACCTCTGCCTTCAGCCACAGGCGCTGGAGGTTGTGCTGACGCTCAAAGGTCCAGACCAGGGCTTCCTCGCGACTGCGGGCAAAGGTGCACCGGTTTCGGTGGCGCCGGCAGCCGAGCCCAGGGCTATAGTAGCGACAGACTTGGTAGCACAAGGGCCTTGGGAAGGTGGGCCGGCAGCCCACCATGCGCCAGACCTTGCTTTTGGTGGCCTGCTTGAAGCGGGCCAGCAGGATCTCGTGGGAGCAGTCATGCTCCACCCTGCGGAGGACGTAGGTGCTTTCATTGAGCCGCTGGGTGCAGCGGGAGCAGCCCAGACACAGGTCCACCAGGGCACACAGCCGGGCCAGGGACAGCCCCCTGGTGGCCGCGGGGCTGTTGGGCAGCAGGCTGGACCCTGGAGGCGCCACCTCGAACACCAGCTTGGCTCTCCGGGACAGCGTCCGAGGCTCCTGAGCTCACGGGTCCACGTGGCCCACTAGGACTGTTGGCCACGGTTCGAAGCCTGCGACAGAAGGAGCAGGTGAGACTGAGACTGAGGCTGGGGGACATCTGCTCCACGCCCAGCTGAGAAGCATGGCCCCTCCACCAAACAAGGAGCTGGGGCTCTGCCCACCCTGAGGCTGAGGCCTTGGCAGCAGCTGTGTCCTGTCAGGGAGTCAGGACTCACTGACCCGGACACAGCCAGACCCTCCCTCCTGAAGGGTCTCAGGCCCCGCCTAGAAGGAGCCAAGGTGGCTGCTTGTGGAGCCCTGGAGGGGGCAGAGCCCTTGGCACAGTGCCGCCCCCAGGAGGTCGCACCCCTCTCCCCCAGCCGGGGGTCCTGTGCACCCCAGGGCCTCAGGCTCCTGACTCTTCTAAGGACACAGAACCTCCTTTTCTGTTAAGTGACCACTGGTCCCGACATCTGCACCTGGGGAGGGGCCTCAGGGAGAGGAGGGTGCAGTGCTCACCAGAGCTCAGGGTGTCAGGAAGAGATGGGTCCCCGGGTCCCCACTGCAGCTGAGATGCAACAAGAGGAGGAAGTTTAAAAGCAACAGACTGGAGGCAGACTTGAGTATGAGAACCCAGCACTCCCCGGGGACCCCTCTGAGAAAACATCCGAGTCTGCCGTCCAAAAAGGACAGGAGCTGAGACCCCAAAATCCTGCGCTCCCAGTGGGTGCACAGACCACAGGGCTGGGGCTTGCTGTGGAGCACGCCGGTCCCGGGCGGGCTGCACTGTCCCGGGCTGGGTCTGCGGCTCCTGGGACCCCGCACCCCCGGCTGCACTCGCCCTCCTGGACCCCTGCGCCCCCGGCCCCGCCACCCTGGGACCCCGTGCTCACCCTCCTGGAGCTGCCCCTGGACCCCCGTACCCCCGCGCCCCCGCCCTGGGACCCCTGCGCTCACCCTCCTGGAGCCGCCCCTGGGCCCCTGTGCCCCCGCCCCTCCGCCCTGGGACCCCTGTGCTCACCCTCCTGGAGCTGCCCCTGGACGCCCGTGTCCCCGCCCCTCCGTCCTGGGACCCCTGCGCTCACTCTCCTGGAGCTGCCCCTGGGCCCCCGTGCCCGCGCCCCTCTGCCCTAGGATGCCTGCGCTCACCCTCCTGGAGCTGCCTGCCCTGCCGAGCCTGCCCAGGAGCTCTCAGTTTCGATTCTGCCCCGGGCACTGACGCCGATCGCGGAAATTACCTCACCGCCCCCCGCCCCGCCCCGCCCTGCCCCGCCTCCAGCGACAGCTCGGCCCCCACTGCGAGGGAACCTCGGGGAAGCGCCAGCGAGCGAAGGGCGCCCCTCCCTAAAGGACCAGTGCCGTCGGAGGCGGGGATGGCTGGGGGTGGAGACTCCTTTCCCGCACCCCTCCAGGGCCCCACGCCCCGTCCAGCCCCTTTACACACCAGAGACGCCCCAATGGTGTGCCAGGCGGAGGGGGTGAGACCCTTCCCGGCCCTGGACGGCAGGAGGGCCTGGTGACTCCATCAGCCCTGGAGAAATCCAGGCTCAGCTGACCTGGAAGCCTGGGTCCTCTGACCGGCAGGACCTGCCTGTGGCCCTGGTGTTGCTCCGACCCCGAGTCCCTTCTGTCACTAACCAGGATATGGCAGGAATGGCCAAGTGGCCGCCGGGTCCCAGAGTCAGCACGCCTGGCGCTTTGCTCTCTGGACTGGCTCTGGGTCAGCCCTGTGGGGAGGCCCCATGGAAGAGCTGAGGCCTCCAGCCCACCTGCAGCTCGAGTCCCAGCCCCAGCCTTACTGCCATCTCAGGGAGACCCTGAGGCCTAACCCTCCCACCTAGACCACGCCCAGCTGTTAGATGTCTATGTTGTTTAAAATAAACATCCAATTAGCCAGGGGTGGGGGCGGGCAGCTGTAGTCCCAGCTACTCAGGAGGCCGAGGCAGGAGAATTGCTTGAACCAAGGAGGTGGAGGTTGCAGTGAGCCGAGATTGTGCCACCGCACTCCAGCCTGGGTGATGGAGCAAGACTCCGTCTCAAAACAAATAAATACATAAAATAAACATCTACGTTGTTTTAAGCCACTGAGCTTTGGGGCGATCTGTTCTGCAGCAGTAGGTAACGGACAGTTATGCTGCCCCTGAAACAAGGAAGCAAGGCTGCCATGCAAGGCCAGCACCTCGTGGGGAGGGCTGGGCTGGGGGCTCACAGCTACCTCGGGAGGTCGGCTGGGTGCGCCGTCAACCACCAGGGAGCCTCTCCGCAGACCAATCACGTTCGAGCTCCTCGGAGAGGGCGGGACCGCCAACCACCAGGGAGCCTCTCCGCGGACCAATCACGTTCGAGCTCCTCGGAGAGGGCGGGACCGCCGACGACAGCAGCCCCAGGGGCCGAGCGGGCTCCGCGTGCACACAACGCTGCGAGAACTTGTGCGGAACGCCGTGTTCCTGCATGGGGAGGCTTCACATCACACAAAGATGTGAGTTCTTCCTAAATTAACCTGCAGTCTCACGGTGGACACGCTGACTTTCACGTTCATTTGGAAAAGCATTATTACATCACCAAGCAACGCTGGGCAGGACTTTTTTTTTTTTTTTTTTTTTTTTTTTTTTTTGAGACCGGGTCTCAGTCCATCGCCTGGGCGTGAGTGCAGTGATGCCATCACAGTTCACTGCAGCCTCGACCTCTGTCTGACTCAAGCAGTCTTCCCACCTCAGCCTCCTGAGCAGTTGGGACTACAGGTGCACACCACCACAGTTAGCTATTTTGGAGTTTTTTCTATGTTTTTCAGAGATGGGGTTTCTCAATGCTGCCCAGGCTGCTGTTGAACTCCTGGGCTCAAGCAAACCACCCACCTTGGCCTCCTTGAGTGCCAGGATTACAAGCGTGTCCTGATGCCCAAACCAGGATGATGACTAAAAAGGAGTCACAGCAGGTGCTGGCACGACTTACTAAACACACACCACACTGCAAAGTCACTGAACCCGGTGTGGATGCGCAGGTCCAGGGCAGAACAGAGAGTCCAGAAATAGAGTCACACTCAGGAGTCTGGGGTGGGATGGAAGATTGGCTCTCGGCCAGGCACAGTGGCTTACACCTGTAATCCCAGCACTTTGGGAGGCCGAGGCAGGGGGATCACCTGAGGTCAAGAAGTTCGAGACCAGTCTGGCCAACATGGCGAAACCCCATCTCTACTAAAAATACAAAAATTAGTCAGGCATGGTGGCGCACACCTGTAATCTCAGCTACTCGGGAGGATGAGGCAGGAGAATCACTTAAACCCGGGCGTCGGAGGTTGCAGTGAGCCGAAATGCTGCCACTGCATTCCAGCCTAGGTGACAGAGTGAGACTCCATCTTGAAAAAATAAAAATAAAAATAAAGAATGTCCCAAACCCAAAACACTGACGATGCCAAATCCTGGTGAGGACGTGGAGCAACAGGAACTCTCATTCATTGCTGGCGGGAGTGTGAGGTGGTGCCTCCACTGGCAGAAGACACTTTAGTAGTTTCTTACAAAACTAAATACATTCTTACCACACAACCTAGCAGTTCTTACAAAACTAAATACATTCTTACCACACAACTAGCAGTTCTTACAAAACTAAATGCGTTCTTACCACACAACCTAGCAGTTCTTACAAAACTAAATACATTCTTACCACACAATCTAGCAGTTCTTACAAAACTAAATACATTCTTACCACACAACTAGCAGTTCTTACAAAACTAAATGCATTCTTACCACACAACCTAGCAGTTCTTACAAAACTAAATACATTCTTACCACACAACCTAGCAGTTCTTACAAAACTAAATACATTCTTACCACACAACTAGCAGTTCTTACAAAACTAAATACGTTCTTACCACACAACCTAGCAGTTCTTACAAAACTAAATACATTCTTACCACACAACCTAGCAGTTCTTACAAAACTAAATACATTCTTACCACACAACCTAGCAGTTCTTACAAAACTAAATACATTCTTACCACACAACTAGCAGTTCTTACAAAACTAAATACATTCTTACCACACAACTAGCAGTTCTTACAAAACTAAATACATTCTTACCACACAACTAGCAGTTCTTACAAAACTAAATGCATTCTTACCACACAACCTAGCAGTTCTTACAAAACTAAATACATTCTTAGCACACAATCTAGAAGTTTCACCCCTTGGTATTTACCCAAACCAGTTAAACGCTTATGTCCACACAAAAAACTTGCATGAGGGTTTTTAACAGCAGCTTTACTCAAAATTGCCCAAACTTGGGAATCAGCCAAGACGTCCCTCAGCAGCTGAACGGTGCACTGTGGCCCATCCACACAGTGGCATGTCACAAAGCACTCCACCCTCTGCGGGGACTCTGCCCTCTGGAGTGCCCTGGGCTGGACAGGGCTGGACAGGCCACAGCCCATTCCCCACTCCTGCGTCCTCAGCTGAGGAGTGGCCAGTGCTGCAGTCGGCCACCAGGGACACTCAGTGGGTACAAGACATGACCCCTTGTAGGTCTGCATCTTGTGGCCTCTGAAACCCCATGAAGTATCAGGAGCAGGAGGTATCGTGGTGGGATACTGAGGGGTATAGCTCCCTTCAGGGCCAGAGGGGATGATGGGGGTGATTGGGCCGTGTGAGCAAACGGGAAGGGTCACAGCGTAGAGAATGGGTAGCAGGAGGGTAGGAAGGGCCAGAGGTGGGAGTCAGGTAGTTCTATCGACCCGAGAGAGATGGAGGGGGCCTGGCCTCACAAGAAGGGAATGCATCGTGGATGTGAGGTTGCAGGAAGGTGGGCTGAGCCAGTGGGCAGGTGTTGGTGCTCCCCTCCCCCATGGGGTGTGATGGGGACTGAGTATGGGAGGGAATATGGAGCAGGAGCTCTGTCTCGTACGCATGGAATCTGAGGAGCTGGCAGATGGCCTGTGGGGAGGGTGGTCCCGTGCCAATGTCTGCTGGAAGGACATGCCTGTGCATTTGTCAGCTCTGGGCTGCAGCAGGGCACAGGCGTGGGAGAGCAGCCATGGCAGAGGGGAAGGTTTCAGAGTGGACTCTTGCAACCAGCGCCCTGTGCCCCTCCAGCCACCACCCCAGATGGCACCCAGTGACCTGGCTTTCGACGCCATTCTGCCTTGAGGGAAGCGTCCAACTTTCCTAAGTGGAACCACACAGTGTGGACTTCTGTGTCTGCCTCTTGCTTGGCCGTGAGTCTGGGAGGCCGGCCTGTGGCTGGTGTGCAGGTTCCTATGGCCCTGGGTGGACAATGGTAGCAGGGAGGGGAACAGCATCGGTGACAAGGCGGCTCTGGGACTGAGCCCTGGGAGAGGGGAGCAAGTGCTCCCCTGGGGGTGAGTCTGTTGAGCTCCTGACTGGTGGGTGCAGGCCCCTGTGCCGCTGTGACCTCTCCTTGCCCGTGGGTGTGGTGCCTCCGACGCCAAGGCTGTTCTTACTATCGTCCTCCAGCGACTTGGACACCCTCAAAACCCTCACCAGGCACCAAATTGGCTGATGCTCTTGATCTCGGACTTGCCAGCGTGCAGAACTGCAGAAATGAATCTCTGTTGCTTGCAAGCCCCCCAAGCCTGTGGTATTTGGTTGCAGTAGCACTAATGACTAAAACAGCCATGATCCTCCCAACAGGCCTGTTGACAACTCCGACGGGTGCTGGGGAGAGGCGGAGAAGGGCACAGAGCACCTGCTGTGATGAAATCAGCTTTGACCTCGGGACACCCTGGAAGGGTCCTGAAGCCCCCAGGCTACTTGGAAGGACTAAGCATGTGGGTGCGAGTGGCCCGGGGCGGGGGTGGCAGCCGGCGCTGTTTGCATTGGGCATGTTTATAGACTTGATTTCTCTCCACACTTCATTCCAAGAGATAGACACTCAAACTATGAAAATTGTTTTTATTTTAAATCAAAGTACCAGGCAGATACTTGCAAAACAACATACAAAGCAAAACTCAAACACGGCCCTTCCCCAGGGCGCCTCTGAGCAGGCACAGAGAAGTTCTCGCCCTCTGCAAAATCCAGTCCAATCCTATCTTCTCAGAAAACCAAACCAAAGGCAGCCATGAAAACCTGTGTTCTGTATGTGGTTGAGAAGGTCTTCCTCTCTGAGGACTGGCTGGCCCCAAGTGCAGAACTGGGAGGTCCAGGGAACCCTGCCCCGGAGGAGCCAGCAGGACCCGGAGGAGCCGGGGGCAGTGCTGACGACCTGCCCGGCCCACTGCAGTGTGGTTCCCGTGCGGATGGGGGCTTCTCCAGGGCCCTTCCCCATGCTGGGGCTTGGAACCCCTGCCAGAAGCAGCTGGGTTGGCGGCAGACGTCCCCGAGGGCCTTGGGAAGCACTGGGAATGGGCTCCCAGCCCTGCTGGAATGGGGGATTGGGAATTAATTCTGAAGCTGGTTGTGGCTTATTTTTGTATGGCTCTGAAATTAACTTCCTCTCCCAATGCCTCAATAGCGGAAGGGCAGGAGCAGAAAAGGTCCCAACCTTGTTCTTAAAAAGAAAGGAAATGAACCCACAAACCAATGGAAGTTCTGTTCAGCGAGGGCTGCCAAGGCAGACCCACTCATGACTTTGACAAAGGGAAGCAGCTGGAAGGTTGCGGGTCCCAGGGTCACAGGCAGCTGTATTAGCGACAGGTTCTGAGCTGGTGGGGTGGGGGCTACGGGGCCCTCCTGAACCCCGTAAGGTCATACCGCTGCACGCTGCAGAACTCAACTGGAGTGGAAATGAGTTTAAAACGGAGTATGTACATCAAAAGGTCAACATCACGCCGAAACCAGCTGACTGTGACAACAGCAAACAGCAAACAAAAACGTAACAGAGAAAACAAACAAGACACAGCCTCAGTAGCTTGACATGGGTGGGGGCAGCCAGGACAGGGCCCTGGTGACAACAGCACAGAGGTGGGGTCTGGGCCGCTCGCTGGACGGACAGCCAGCCAGTTTCCTTGGGAGCAGTGAAGTGGGACACGGGACCCTCGCATTGCGGGGCCTCAGACGGGCCTTCAGCTGCCGACAGAATCAGGAGGAGCATCCAGGGGCCTCTGGCCCTCAGGGTCCTCCTGGGACATACCCTGCTGGAGACGGCAGGAGCCCTGGGCTGGCTGCTCCCTGAGATGTCTGCCCCAGGGCCCTGGCCTGGAGGGGCCTCAGCCTGGTCTTCCTTGAGTCCAAGGCCAGGTCTGGGGACAGTCATGGACAGCCCTTCCAGACAGGCTCTGGGCTCCACCTTTGGCAGCTGCCCTGACCAGCCCACCCGGGCAGCCTCCTAAACACCCAGAGGCTCTCCCTTGGACAGAGACCACCGAGGGCCAGCCCAGGGGCTGCATGGGGGCCGGGGGCTGTTCTGTGGCCAAGCAGACCAAGCCGAAGGGCCCCCACGTGAATCCTCCACCTCCATAGCAACTGGTTCTGTTTATGCCCCTGCCCCAGGACTGAAGCCCTCGGGACACACCTCACGGATCTCAGATCCCTGGGAGGGGCCAGCTCAGGCAGAGGCTGCCCAGGACCTCCGCACCCGGTCAGGTGCACTCACAGGGGCTCAGGGGCCACCCCCAGAGCTAACTCGGGAAGCCTAGGCACTCAGCATTATTTTGGTTGAAAATGCTATAAATCCAACTCTTCCTAGAAGCCTACTAAGCAATTCACTTAAAAACACCCTCAGTACATGTGCAACAATGCCTGGACCACGCCTCATCTGTGCGGCCCCTGGGCCACCTGAGCACCGGCTGGGGGTGGGGGAGGAGGGCACCCACCGGGATCTGCACCCCAAGCTCCGGGTGCACGTTCCCACACAGGAGGAGAACGGGGTGCCAGCCACACTAAACCTACAGAAAACTGTGGGAAGAAACCAAATCCATAGGATCCATAGGGTTCATACTTGGGCTCAGCTCCCAAGTCATGTGTTAGTAGCATCCCCAGGGACCTGGCTGGGTGCAGACACCGGGACCTCGCCACCCGCTGCACCGCGTCCGGCACCTGCAGGGTCGTGCTCGGCACCCTGGCTCTGCTTCCTCTGCCTCGGCTGCACCCAGGCTCCCCCCCGCCCCCGCCCACCTGGCTCCTGATCAAGGCCCAATGTGTAAACAGTATTAATAAGCAACAGATGGAAAAATATATTTCCCAAGAAAAAAGGGGGGGAAACGTGGGACCTGAAGACCGATTTCCAGGTTGCTCTCGCTGTTCTGTCCCCTTCTCTCTTCTCGTGATTTGTTTTGGCGATTCCTCTCTTTGGTTCTGCAGCCCACGTGACGCACCTGCCCGAGCCAGCCCTGCGGCCTCTGCCCGTTCCCTGCTGCCGCAGCTGAGAGGCAGCCAGCCCCGTCCGTCCCAGGGGCCTCGCCCTCCCGTCGGCTACTTCCGCTCGTGGTCCTCTGCCACGGCAGCCACCTCAATGGTGGCCGTGTGCTCCTCGGGCCCGGGGGCAGCCCCTGTGGGCACTGTCACAATTGTGCTGGCGCCAGGCGAGGCCTGGGCCACGTTCTGCAGGGTGGGGCCCAGGCCAGGCAAGGTGAGCAGCTGCAGCGGGCTGACCACCTTGAACACCGTGCTACCGTCCTGCACGGCGGCCGTGCTCAGGACCGTGAGGCTGGATGCATCCGGGTGGATCTCCACTGTGCTGGGGTAGGTGGAGCCGGAGGAGGCCAAGACTGTGTAGCCCCCAAGCAGCGGGGAGGCTGGGGAGCTGGCAGGGGGTGCCTGAAGGGAACCCTTGCCCAGGATGGTGGAGGGCAGGGTGGACACCACTTTACCAAGGGGCACGCTGGTCAGCTGGGGGACGGGCACGCCCGGGCCGAGCGCCAGCTGGGCAGACTGGGTGAGCACCTGCGAGGCCATGGCGGCCGGTCCTGATGTGGCACGTGCAAGCCGGGGCCGCTTCACAGGCGGTGGCAGGGAGACCGGAGTCAGCGTCATGAGCACGTTGCTGAGGTGCTGGGACTTGTGCTTCAGCTCCTTGGCTCGGCGGCGATGCTCATCACACTGCTGCTCCAGGGCTGCCGGGAGGGGCAGACGGCATCACACGGGGGACGGGGGCAGACACGCCACACCATCTGGGTGGCTCCTGGGTCAGTGGCAACCCAGGTCTGCTCACTTGATGCCACAAACCCAGATGACCACGTGGCCACTCACCAAAGGTGAGGTCTGTGGGAGACGGGGCCCAAGATGGCCCTTGGGGTAGATACAAGCCTGTGCTGACCCAGGGTCTGCACTGACCCGGGGCCCATGTGCAAATGTGGCAATGCCGTCTCAGACCCTCCCGCGCTGACCCAGGGACTGTCTCAGAACCCCCTGCACTGACCCAGGGCCTGTGTGCAAGTGTGGCAATACTGTCTCAGACCCTCCCGCACTGAGCAGGGCCTGTCTCAGACCCTCCCGCACTGAGCAGGGCCTGTCTCAGACCCTCCCACACTGACCCAGGGCCTGTCTCAAACCCTCCCACACTGAGCAGGGCCTGTCTCAGACCCTCCCACACTGACCCAGGGCCTGTCTCAAACCCTCCTCAGAAGCTCCCCGTGGTGGCTATGACTCCAGGGAATGCATGTGGACGCACAGCCAGGGGGTGAACCCGTGGGCTCCCAGGTCCTCAGCCTGCCGCCTAGGGGCCGGGGTGGTCTCGGCGTACCTGCCAGGTCCCGGGCATACTGCTCCCGCGAGCGGTCCATCTGGCACTTGTGGCTGGCCAGCACCTTCTTCACCAGGTCTAGCATGCCGAAGTTCTGCACAATGTTGTTGAGGAGCACAGCATCTGAAAGGGCAACGCGGACACTCGGTGGGAACCCGGGCCCTTCCTAGACAGCCGGAACACCACAGGCAACGCGGACACTCGGTGGGAACCTGGGCCCTTCCTAGACAGCCGGAACAACAACGGCAACGCGGACACTCGGTGGGAACCCGGGCCCTTCCTAGACAGCCGGAACAACAACGGTAACGCGGACACTCGGTGGGAACCCGGGCCCTTCCTAGACAGCCGGAACAACAACGGTAACGCGGACACTCGGTGGGAACCCGGGCCCTTCCTAGACAGCCGGAACAACAACGGTAACGCGGACACTCGGTGGGAACCCGGACCCTTCCTAGACAGCCGGAACAACAACGGTAACGCGGACACTCGGTGGGAACCCGGGCCCTTCCTAGACAGCCGGACACCACAGGCAACGCGGACACTCGGTGGGAACCCGGGCCCTCCCTAGACAGCCGGAACAACAACGGTAACGCGGACACTCAGTGGGAACCCGAGCCCTTCCTAGACAGCCGGAACAACAACGGTAACGCGGACACTCGGTGGGAACCCGGGCCCTTCCTAGACAGCCGGACACCACAGGCAACGCGGACACTCGGTGGGAACCCGGGCCCTTCCTAGACAGCCGGAACAACAACGGTAACGCGGACACTCGGTGGAACCCGGCCCTTCCTAGACAGCCGGAACACCAACGGTAACGCGGACACTCGGTGGGAACCCGGGCCCTTCCTAGACAGCCGGAACACCAACGGTAACGCGGACACTCGGTGGGAACCCGGGCCCTTCCTAGACAGCCGGAACACCAACGGTAACGCGGACACTCGGTGGGAACCCGGGCCCTTCCTAGACGGCCGGAACAACAGTAACGCGGACACTCGGTGGGAACCCGGGCCCTTCCTAGACGGCCGGAACAACAACGGTAACGCGGACACTCGGTGGGAACCCGAGCCCTTCCTAGACAGCCGGACACCACTCTGGGGCTGCTCCTCAGGAACCCGGCCAGCCAGGAGTCCGGTTCAGAGGGAGAAGACTGAGATGCACCAAGGCGATCCTCCCACCAGGTTCAGCCTCAGCACAGCGAGGGTCCCAAGCCTAGATTCAGCCTCCAACCCAGCAGCAAAGAAGGGCCTGGGGCAGGAGGGCCAGTGGCCTCACCTCCTGCAGACACTCCTGGGCTGAGGAGCCGGCAAGAGGGAAGATGCAGCTCCTCACCTCGAAGCTGCAGGGGAGGGTCCTGGACCCGCTGCTGCAGGCCTCTCATGGTCTCCATCAGCTCCTGGTGGAACTCCTGGATGACCTCGTCCAGCAGGCCGGCGTCCTTCAGCCCCCGCCAGAAGGTAAATGTGTCATCTGTGAGGGAAAGAGTGGGTTCAGTGGGCAGGGAAAGCGCTGCTACACGGGGCAGCCACCACAGCCACGAGGACACCACCACAGCCACGAGGACACCATGCCAGAGCCGGCAGCGCCTGGCACTGAGCTGGGCTTGCACTGCCCAGACACATCCACAGTGCTGAAATCTAGCAGGTCAGCCACAGAGCTCAGCCTCAGAGCACCCAAGATAACGCTGCTGGAGCCAGACCTTTCTCCACAAAGACCCCACTGGTCCCACCTGGATTCCTGGAGCCCCTGTGTGGCCTGAGGCGGGCAGAGACCCCACCACCCCGCCAGAGCTTGTGAGCAGCCCAAAAGGAGGAACCTCGTACCTCCGATGGCCGCGGTCCAGTCCCCAGGGTCCTCACATGTCTCTATGGTGATGGTCGCAGGAGATCCATTCACTGTAGCCAAAAGGAAACCTCGGGTGAGAGCTGAGAGCACCATAGTCCCAGCCCACACACTGTCCGCCCTCCTCACACCAGTCCCAACCCCACACACCCCACACCCCACCCACACCCCACACCCCCACACACCTCACACACCCACACCCCCACACACCCCACAGTCTGCCCTCCTCACACCACAGTCCCAGACCACACACTGTCCGCCCTCCTCACACCAGTCCCAACCCCACACGCCCCACACACCCACACCCACACACCCCACACCCCCACACACCTCACACAC